ATACATACCCATAACAAAGAGATATACAAATAATCCTCAAAATTCAGATGATAATCCCTTTTCTCCATCTAATACTTGTGCCAAATTTTTTGAGCAAAATACTCTATACGCAGCATTATCATCCTGACGGTCCAATTTTATTACATCTCGCTTATACATAATGCTATTTTCTTGAAAAGATAACGTTAACAGCTGATCAAATCGTACTGTAGAATTACCAAATGTAAGTAAACGAGCACCAGACATAGCTGCATTTCTTGCTGTTTTTTTCCCATGTTTAGGATCCTGAATACGAACTATAGGTCCAACTTTGGGAAATACAGGACAGTTGAAATTAATTCCATATCGGGAATTTCGATGCTGAACACGGTTTCTTGTTCTAATTGATTGTAGTAAATTTTGTGCCTGAAATTCAGCAGCAGCACCATCTGATCCGATAGAAATTATAGGTAATTCAAAATCTGCTGCAATATCAATAAGTTTCTGATGAAGTGCTAAAATTTTATTAGCACTGTCATTTCCAGTTGGAATTAATGCCACAATTACGGGTGGAAACCTTGGAAGAGGTACCTAATAATTTAAATCAATTAAATTTAATAATAGTAATTAAAATTCAAATCAATTTTTTTAATAAATTTACCTGAAGAACGTAAACTCTAACATATTTTGCAATCGCATTTCTTTGCTTGATATCAGAAATCTTTTTATATATATCATCATAGGTTTCAATTTTGCAATCATTTCGGTCTAGAGTTGATCCAACAATACAACCTAAATTTGTTGAATATTGCAACCCGGACTTTAAAATTGTACAATCCGTCATAGCTACAACATGACCTTTATAGTGTAATGAATCTAAGAGCCTTTTAAATCGAGCAACATTCTCATGACAAAGATCGGGATTGTTAATAGCGTCTTCAGAAATACTTCTATGATACCTATATAGTACATATAAAAAATTATGCTTAATTATAGATATAATCATGCTAATTAGATAATTTTAATTGTACTATCATTATTATTACCTTATTGTACGAATTGTTATACCAGCTAAATTCTGATGGAACAAATCCAATGCTTTTAAACTAATACTTCCCAACACTATAAGAAAATTTAAAAATTCAGTTGGATATTTGAGATTTCGTAAGCCTTTTTCTTGTTCTTTACGTTCTGCAGCTTGTAACATAATATAGCAAAGTCCTTTAAATACTGGTTTTTGGTCAAATGCACCTTGAACAGCTTTATTAGCAAGTTCCATCCAAAATCCTACAGATGAATCCTCGGTATTAAGGAATTCATTTAATTGTTTAATATGACCATTTTTTAGATATATTAATAACGGATTATTTTCATAATAAAATTTCGGTGTAAATTTAGTATTTTTTGGATCGGGAACTACACAATGCAAACGATTCAAAAAAGTTGAATTAAAATGAATATGGGAACATGGTGAACAGGGTTGCCCATAAGTTTTTTTCTCACAGTTGACTGATCGAACGCACATTCCTAAATTAAACGTCAGTATTAATAAATTGATAAATGATCATCATACGGTTAACTAATTTTTCTTACCAAGACGATCAATAAACCATTCTGATTCAACAATCATTTGCTGATTAAAATCGGTTATTTCCTCCTTATTGAGCTTTTTAGAATTAAATGGTAGTTTATTTGGAAACTTATTTGGAAACATTTCTTTTCCAATTACTTCTCGTCGTCATGCACCTCCATATGTAGCTGGTGTTAGATTAATATAAGTAACAATTTGTTCAGAATGGAGTCCAGGACATGGTTTATTTGGAAATGATGGCGGTGATGGTAGCGGTGGTGGCGGTGATGAGTCTTCTAAGTCTTCTCTTACTTTTTTAGGATTAGGTAAGACAGGAAACAAACCAGATAAACCAAGTTGTCGTTTTTAGTTATTTATTTTACATCTAGAGTTTCTAGAATGTTCGTTAAGCCTTTTCTCATCATAGTCGTTATCAAGAATAACCTTTTGTCCACATTTGCAAAATACTTCATGTTTATTAATAATAGCTGCACAAAATTTATTATCACTTAAGCGAGTTTGAGTATGCTTCCACTTCAACATTATAAAAGTAAAGTTTTAGTTTTTGTAAAAAAAACGCGTAGTTAGTTTCAAAATATATACTTCTGATCGTGAG